CTTTTGAACAAAACTGAGCTTAAGGCATGGTTGTGTGTCAGCTTATGGGGTGCTTTCCTATTAACATCAGTGAGTTCCCTGTTTTTCATAAGGCATTTCTCCTGTTTTTCAGCATCATGTGATATGACAGACGGGCCTAACTAGATTAATTTTGCAATTAAGGTGTGATGTAATACCTCAAATGCTACCATCAAGTACAGATACAGGATAGCAAAAGTGAACAGTCTGTTCGTTATATTACATAAAAGTTTACATTTGCAAGTCTTATGGAACAGGATTTTCCAAGCTAGGAAATCTAATAGTCTGTAAATCAAGGATTATTTTTCTGTTCAAAGATCCCCCCCAGTGATGGGAAACAGCTTGCTGCATAAAACATCCCCTGCAATCTTACCTGATGCATTGCATATATGACCCTAGACTTACATATCAAATGGGGTGAGCGATTTGTAACTACTGAAACCTGTCAAGTGAGCACTATGGACAATTGAGAAGGGTTGTGCTTCAGCATTCACAGGGATAGGATGGCAAATGCAAAGATCAGAATTTGTTTCTCCATTTAAAGGATTATTAAAGATTACAAGATTTGGTCTATTTTTACTTACCTGTCCTCTAAGAGCCTACTCCCCATGGTAAGAGTAACAGAGAAACTAGTTCCAAGTTTCAGCTTTTACAAGACAGCCATTAAAAAACCCAGTAATTAATAATGTTTAATACCAAGCTGGTTGTGAAAGGAAAAAAAGTGACCCTATGTATTTCCTCTACTGCACAGGTACTTGATAATAGAACATTTCTATGTTTAGCTTTAAACTGCAGGCTAATTAATACCATATTTTAAAGGAATAAACAACTAGAAGTAACTCCCTAATCAAGATTTCATAAACAGGTTAACACTAAACTGAAAAATATCCTACCAATGAGATTGCATACATTGTATTTGACAACATGCTCCTGACAAAGGGACAATATGTACTTTTTTGCACAGGAATTAAATACACTGTAGCTGTTGATTAAATAATTTCATCCAGAATACATTAGCAAGCCATTTTCCTGCCCAAATACCTCAGTGCTAGGAAAGACTAATACACCCTGCATGCACTGTTGAATGAAAAGCAAAACAAGGCAGCAAATCCTGAAACTAACGGAAGTTGTAAAGGAGGGCTTTCAAATGAAAATAGGGAAAAAGTACAGAACAGTTAACCTAGCACAAGAATCCACAAATGCATTCTAATGCCCATGATTTTAAGCACATTTGTTTTAACATAGGAACAAACACACAATAATGAATTATCTCCTTAACTTCTGTATGTAAGCCTCTGAATATACTTCAGCTCTACAGATTCTTTCAATTTATACATTACTGAAAAACAATTGTGAGCTTTAAAAGTTTCCTACATAGGATCAAACAGATCAACTAAAAGATACCAGTTTCCTTGACATCCCAAAATGCCTTGTGCTAGCAGTTCTTGGACTGCTGTGCAGCAGCACTGACAACTGTGTTCAGCAGTTTATGCTCACAACAGTCACTGGTGCAAATCAGATGGCATGTCTTTATTAGTCATGAAACCAGATGGACTGTCTGCATCAAAGAGCTTAGGACACCACAAATGGTTAGAACCATAAACCTGAATTATCTGTCTATGCCAGGTAATCTCATTACAAATTGCCTCCCCACTGAGGAAGAGCAGAGCAGCCTAGCTGTTCTGCAGAGTGCTTATCAGAAATACTTACCAGGCATCCTCTCACTCCACAATTATTCCAAGTATAGGGACCTGAGTTTAAGAGTCTAATTATAAACATTTCACAATGAGACTATGCACGTTGCTGCATGTGTCACATTTTAAGAGTCTGCTATATGCAAAACTCTGCCCTGCAATGAAGAAATGAGTGGAAAGAAAAAATATTTTAAGTTCTGTACTCACCAAGTCATGCACATAGAAAGCAAATGGAGAACACAAGTTATCACAACAGTAGCTGTAAAATACTATCAAAAGCAAATATACCAAACCATTTTAAACAAAAAGGAACAGAGCTAACAGAGCCTTAAGTTGGAAACATTAAGATCTCCCACTCTTCTCTTACCTAGGTATTACTGTTGAACAGCTCTGCTGACACATTCATCTAGGACAGTTTTAAAGATTTAAAGGTGAACTTGAGGGCCTGCAATGACTATCAAGATTTAGACACCCTTCTAGGTTGAGCCATATATTTACAGCTATGAAATTCTTACATGGAAAAGTAATGACAGCATTCCCCCTTACATATGAACTATCTGTCCTTTCTGAAATGCAACAAATTTGGTAGACAACACAAACACCACATGTTCTCTGCCCATCACAGAAGGTGTTTCTATTTAATTTACCATCAGTTAATTCTTACACCATTTTAACCTTGCACTTAAGTGTTTTAGATTGTTTATGAAATTTGGTATTGCTCTATATAGGGTACAGTCCACAACTTAATTATCTCAAATTAAGCTCCTTTATCTACAGCATTGCCCCTAAAGGTAATCATGAGATGACAGGAACAGACACTCATGGATACTGACACCAAGATCTGAGCTTTGCTGCCAGGGGGTGGCAGCACCGGCACGACCGATGCAGGGGTTCAAGCTGCACAGCAGCATGTAAGAGGTCTCAAGTCCAATTCTCTGTTTCCATTTATACTTTGCTTTGTTTTGCCACCTAGTCTATTCATCACAGGGACTACACAAGAGAACACATTCTTGAAATACAAGTAATTCATAAGAATCAGGCCTAGAAGAATAGCTATAATATTCCATATCAATCCAGATACACATGGATTTCTGCATAATTGAACATTTTATTTGAATCTGTTAGATATTTGTTCAGATCACCTGTTCAGCA